TCAAGGTGAATTACGTGGGCGGGCAACTGCAATTATTTTAGCCCATTGAAGGTTAATGGAGAATATGGGCTGATAAAAAACTACAGTAAAATAACCTAAAGCAACTGTAAGGTGTTGAATGCTTCCTAAATCAATCACCTCCTAGGGGAGGAAGTTGAGGGAAGAGTGGAGCCCGCCTACCACGCACATGGTCCAAAGTCAAACCCCAGTTGAAGCATGGCCCAGGCTCAAGAACCTACCATCTCTTCGGAATTGACCACGAAAAAACAAATACGTGGCGTACCCACAAAATCGATCAAACAACTTCAAATCAATTTTTGAAACCATCACCTTTCAATTCACCCACACCGTGTTCTTCATTGTTCTTGAACTGACTCCTTTGTTCCGAATCTACTCACCATGATCGTTCTAGCTAATAAGGGATCGTATTAGTTTTTCAGTAGTCCTGACCAGGGTCAACCCTATCGTTGTTACTTTTTGAAAAATTTTTACGACCCCCCTCCCCCAAGGTGGATTTGATACGACCCCCTTTTCCACACCTCGACCACCATCATCCTCTCTATAGTATTTAATTCTGATACCACTCAACCCACCAAACTCCGCCCACTTTTTCCTCCAAAAATGCCGTCGAGGGGGGGGGGGCTTTTCAAAAATAATCCAAAACCGGAATCGATGCATCGCAAAGCCCGGGAATAAAGACAAGTCATTCCCTCCATTACGCAAAGAACAATCCCTCTGAATTTCACTCCTTCAACTTTATCTCAATGAATTATCCAAATGTCCACAGCACCCACTTTGTATAATAAAAAACGCACTGATGAGCACAAGTAGCCCCAGATGTCAAAAGGATGAAGGCTATCGACGATCAACAGCGATGTACTGAGAATCCATTCATCGATTTTATCCAAAAATTGGTGGAAAATTTCGACAATTTCTAGCTCTCCAACTACCAGCGGCTCTTTCACCATCACTGGAGTACGACAAACATATTGAAAAACTTCTCCAACGGAAATTTTGAGAAATCCGGTGACGGTACGGTACAGCAGGAAAATTTAAAGGGACTGAAAATTCGTAATGATCATTCCCTCAATAATTGATTACATGGTGATGACCAATGTAACTCCCCCGAATCTCCCTGTACAGCTGCTTTTGTCGCTACATAATGCAAATGTCCAGGACTATCCGTTTATGTGCAGCAGCCGCAGCTGATGTGACAACGATGACAGCCAGACCTGCGGACACCTTTGTCCCGAAGCGAAACAAACATCAGGCAGTGCTTTTCTCATACTCCCTATTGCATATTCGCTGCCTTGAAGAGCGGAACTGCAAGTAGCAGCTGTAAATTACCCAAAACTCTCACTGCCAGATGAGAACCCAGTCTAAGCGTTCCAAATCTTCTATAGGAACAAGTACAAATAAAAAATGACAACAAAATACAAAACAGAATTGGCTGCGAAAAAAGTAGAAAAATATGACAATTTATAT